CACCACCCACCCACCCACCCGCACCACTCACCAACCCCCACTGGCATGTCATGTCATGTGATGGCATGCAATGTATTGTATGCAATGGGATGTAATGCATTGTAGTGAAATGGGATGAGCAAGAGTGTATCATGTTATGTGTGGCAAGGCAACCAACGCACCAACCCCGCCCACAGCACAAGACACCACGCAACGCAACGCCACGCCACGCACACGAGAGAGAGAGAGAGGCATCCAGCCATCCATGGCCATGGGCGGGTGGGTGGATGGACCGACACACACTCTATCTATCGCCGCCAGCACCAGCCATGCCAATGTCAGCCACCCCGCCAGCCAGCCGGATCAAGCATCCATCAATGAGTGAGGAAGGGCCCCACACGAGGAAAAAGGGGGACACCCTGCAGGCCCTCACACACCCACAAACCCACACACCCACCCACACAATGTAGTAATGGAATAGATAAGAGACAATTCACCCTCTCCCTCCCTCCATCCCTCCCTCCCTCTGTCTCATCTGTAGACGCCGGGCATGTGGTGGTCCGGGTTGATGTGTGTGCGTAGGTAGTGGTGGATGTTGCCCTCGCAGTGCGTCTTTACGGCCCTGCTGACCACCAGCCGCACCTGCCGGTCCAGGATCAGGGGCGACGCCGCCACCGCCGCGTCACGCTCCACACAATCCAGCAGCCACGTGAACAGCTGCATTATTTAGACCACACCACACACAGAAAGAAAGAAAGACAGTCGTCAATTTATGACGTGCGTGTTGTGTTGAGCGAGCAAAGAGACACTCCCCCCCGCCCCGTACCAGGTTGAGTTGTGTGAAGGAGGGTCTCATCCTGGGGTCGCGGTCGAGGCAGGCACGGATCACCTCGTCCAAATGAAGAGCTGAAACAGCCACACACACACAGAGGGGATGGATGGTGACCAACCAGTTTGTCCATCGCGTCTGCGGCGCGGTGCGATGCGTACGTACGTTGTGGTTCGTCTAGTTTGGGTAGTGTCTTGCGACCCCATCCCACGGCGCCGACGACCTGGGCGACGCCCATGTCCTGGTAGGGCACCCGGCGGCTCAACATCTCCCACAGTAGCGACCCGAACGAGTACACGTCTGACGCACCAGTCACCTCGTGACCTTGCAAACACTTTAGACACACATACGCAGAGAGAGAGGGAGAGAGAGAGAGATAGAGGAGGCATCACACACGTCTGTGCGTGTGTGTGTTAGTTACCTCAGGCGCTGCCCAGTGTGGTGTTCCGGTGCGACACCGATACTTCGCAGCCTGCAAGGAAGGACGCACAGCAGCAGTCAAGCCAGGACACAGACACATATGCACACGGCCCGGTGAATGAGATGAGAGAGGTCGCTGGCCGTGCGTAAGTACCGAAGAATTTGGTCCGTCGTATTTGACGGCAAGTCCAAAGTCGCACAGTTTTGGGTTGAGGTTGCGGTCGAGGAGCACATTGGCGCTCTTGAGGTCGCCGTGGATGACACCACGCTCATGGAGATACTCAAACGCACTGCACAAACCCTGCGCACACACATTGATGGCACACGAACGAGCGGCGAGGCGACCACACACAAGTGAGTTGATTGTGTGTGGTGTCAGTCAGTCATGTATGTCACTCACCTGGCATATCTTGAGCAGATTGTAGTCGTCTATCTTGTGCCTTTTGCGATGCAGCATGTCGAACAGCGAGCCCCGCTCTACCAACTCGGTCACAACCCACTGCCTCACACACACAGACACAGAGACACACACGCCACGCCGCATGGGTCCTCCGGCGGGCGCGTTCTTGTGTGAGCGTGTGTACGTACGTTTCTGTGTTGGTGGTGGTCGACGGTGTATCCATAGCAGGAGAGGATGTTGGGGTGTCTGAAGCCAAGGAGCATCTGCAGCTCGTCCTCGTACTCACGGCACAGCTTGCTCTCGTCCACACTCCTCAGCTTGCCGCCGCCCCCGGCTCCGCCGCACCCCTTGCCGTCCTTGCCGTCGGCCTGGCACTGACCCCCACCGCCACCCACACACGGACGACTGTCGACCATCGGAGGCTTGAACTCCTACACACCAAACAAACAGACACAAACAATTAAGACAACCAGTGCAGTGAGTGCATCAAGGATGTGTGGATGGACACCTTGAGAGCGACGTCTTTCCCCCGCCAGTCGGCGCGGAGCACCTTTGCGAATCCCCCCTCGCCGAGCGTCTGCCGTGACGTCTCGAACTCACTGGGGTCCAGCAGGTAGTCGCGCAGCGTCGGGTGGTCACTCAGCTCAGACCACTGCACACACATACACATACATGAAAAAGCATCATGGATGGGGTGACGGCATACGCCGACAGCAGCCGGCCCATCCGCAGTGCAGTGCACGTACCGTCATTTTGGGCGCCGTTCGCTTGGTCTCCGCCTTGATGACAGAGTGCGCACCCAACAGGAACAACTGACACACAACCGACACACACACACATCAGCAAATCGAACTCGCTCTTGCCATGAGTGTCTGTCTCTGCGTGGCGTGCAGCCAGCCCCTGTTTCCACCGACCTGTATTTCTGAGGGGCTGTCCATGGTTAGTGTGTCGGTGAGGTCGTGTTCGCTGAGGTTGAGGAATGCCTCGCCGTCGACGCCCTTCTCCTGGCACTTGAGGGCCGCGTCGTGGAGGCCCAACAGACGCACGTACTGACTCACGTCATCCACACTCCAGTCATGAGCTGACACACACACCACACAGGCAGACAGACAGAGGCAGGCAGGCAGGCGGCGATGTCATTCATGCATACAAACATCATGGCCACGACCTCCCAGATAGTCTCTCTCTCACCCGAGACGGCGACGGTAGGTTCGGGAGTGATGCCGCAGTGATCGTACGCCCCGATGGCGGCCCTGTCGCTCTCACGCATCATCATCAATGGCCGCTTGTGAGTGGTGCTGCTGCTGGTGCTGCTGTTGTCCTCGCCCGCCCTCTCACTGCTGCCGCCCTCCTGCGAGCACGACGACCCGCTGCCGCCAGGCTTGATGTTCATGCCCGTCGACAGACACGACTGCGAGCTGGGGTGCCCCACCGTCGACCCAGCAGTGGTCGCCTCCTCTTCAACCCCCACACAGGTCCGATACCCGCCCTCCCCACCAGCACCGCCGCCCCACTTCTTGCTCAGCACCGAGGGGGACCGCTCGCACAGCGGCTCGGTCATCTCGGGCAACACGGGGCCGTACAGGGCGCCAGGGGCACTGTGGATGAGGGTGGGGTAGGGAGCAACCTTGGAGGGGTACGAGTTGGCCGACTGCCCACCGCCCGGCCGCCCGGTGGCTGGCGGCTCGTGGACGTGGTCGCTCTCATCCTCCTCAGGGATCCTCTGCAGCACGCCGGACGGCGGGGGTAGAGGGGGAGGGGGGAGGGGCCGGGGCGAGTGGGTGGGGACGCGGCTGCCGGTGACTGTGCCATTGTGTTGGGGCGGGATCTGGTATTGGCCCTGGGAGAGTGGCGAGGAGGATGGCGAGCCTGCGTCGGTGGAGACGGTCGATATCGATCTGGCGCGCCGCTTGAAGGGCGGGAAGGGGATAATGCGCTCGATGGCCACGCGCCGCTTCAGGTTGCCGTCGACCCACGTGTCCGCAAACAACTCGCCTGCACATACGAAGGAACACGGGGGGGG